ATAATCTAAGAGGCGCAAAAAAGGGGATGATGCCAGTTCTCCCAACAGAGGATGCCTGGATGTGTAATGGGACTGTGGGATGGTGGACTAATCCAAGGTAGAGCTTAGCCAGTAATGGCAGACTTTTGTCAGCATTTCAGACTCCCAAAAAATCCATCTTGTCATGCAGACATTCTGTGAATGCATCACCTAACGACATTAACTAGTTGTAATGCAGAGCTTTAATGACATAAGTCTGTTCAGGGGTTTGTGAAATGACCACATCTGTCTTTCCTGTTCCTCTCAAACAGAGAGGAAAAGCTTTTTCCTCCATCTATCCCCTTTAGTCTCCAGCTCTCTCTGGCTCCATGCTTATAATCCTGGAGCAGCTCAATGGGCTTGCAGTATGGGCCATTATTCACTCCAATACTTTTTCTCTGTGCTGGTCAATAGCCTAGGACGTAGTCAAAACTGAAACGGTTTATTTGTTCCACGCAGGCAGACGGATCTGACCACAGGGGATGCATCACAATAAGCCCTTCCCCTATGGACTATAGCTTTCTCTATAGTGAAAATGTCAACATATTTTTTCACATATAGCTTTATATATTTATTTTTTTGTCATCCTGGCAATTTGGAATTGTTATTTATTTTGAAATATAGTAAATCCTCAGAAGTAATAACTTCTGGCAGGTAGTCTCACATGAAATTGTCTTTTTCTCCCTTTTCCCTTTAATCTGCGACAATTCAATCAGGCAGCCTGTGTGTGTACCTGGGCTCTTCTCTGTGCTTTGTCCTTGTTACAATCTCATCAAGGCTTTCTCGTTGCTTATATGAGGATGAGACGTGGGGAAAAAAATTAAGCAAGAGGGTGAAGGTTTCAGGTTTTTCTGATTACTGTCAGATAAGCTGAGGATGACAGCTTTAAAATCTGCCAAGCCAAGTCATCATTAAAAAGGGGCATGAAGGTACGACCCTGTCATATACCCCTTATTTAATTCATGCTAAGACTACAGCATTTGTGTTATAATTAGGTTAATAAAATAAAAGACAAAATCAAGATGTAATGTGTTTTGTTTGTAAAAATGATTTAAGTCTGGGGACAATAATAAAAAATGCTGACGTAATCTACCCACTCTGAAATCAAAATTACTCATGTTTTTAATGTTCATGTGATGTGCAATTAGTTGGGCTGTCCACTGTCAAGCTATCATCAAACAGCTGCAGCGGATAGAACGTACGCATTGCAAAGCTGAAAATTCACTGCAGCAACATTTTATTAAGACATAAATGTTAATAATTTCTATTCGAAATCTACAACAGATTCAGACACTTTGGAAGTTCAATAGTTTTTACAATAATTCAAGTTGCACCAATCAATATGTTGGAAACAATGACTTGGTGCAGTGTGAAAGGGGTCCCCTGCAGTGATGAATCCACAGAACATTATTACCAAACTCTGCAGTTTCCCTCAGCTCTATGGACGGTTTGAGTGTTTTTCAGCTCATTGTTGTGATTTTACATCCTGTAACTCTATTGTTTTGATTTACTTTCATCGCTCTTATCAGCCTTGTTTCCTCCTGCAGCAGGCACCGGTTTTTAGCCAAAAACACAGGTAAACCCATTGTACAGTACTTTCCCAGCAGCCCTTGGGAGTTGGTAGAGAATCGAGTCCAAATAAATGCCAATGTTGCTTTGTGTCTGCTTAATGTGTAAATGTATTATGTCAGTGTTGTGTTTACAGCAGGTTTATGGAAAGGCAAGAGTAAAATTATACAGTCCTGACATATAATTATATTTGTCGAAGAAAAAACACAAAGAACTAACAGCTTAATTCAAACACGTTGCTAAATAAGAAAGAGGAAAGACTGGAAGCCTTATGGTCAAGCAAGACAATTTTGGTCATATTACCTTGCTTGTGCAACAAAATGCACTTTTATTGAAACCACTGACAAAATGATTCAAATGATTCATTCTGCAGCACGAGTAGCGCTGCACTTCTCAGTCAATAATAAATGCAGAAATAGCTTTTTAGTAATCATTCAGAGATTACTCAGAGACTAAGCACTTCAATGCACAATACGTTGTAGGCTCGCATTTAACTTTAAGTCTTGGACAAAGGAACTTATGAGCATTCACAGGCTGTTGCCGGGTGATGCATGGTGAGTGAGGAAAATCTAGGACTTAATGAGGGAAATATTGGACTCTAGAATCCACAGCGTAATCATTTGGCTTCAGAACACTTGGATAATGCTGCTGAACTGTTTTCGGGTAATTTGCTGGTCATTTTCTGTACTTTTAGAACTTAAAAGGAACATGTTCATGTCCACTTCAGCTCATTCTGAGTTGCCCCTGCTGAGTCAATGTGGATATTAAACGTTTTTTACATTTACTTGAGGTTGAGAAAAAGGATAAAATGTTAATTTCTGGATTATTTATGTTATTCTACTATTCCTGCATTTCCTCTACTGATATAAATATGTTTTATTCCTAGGTGGATATCACCTTGACTTAAGCTTACTCTTCCTTTCATGTGCAGTCACAGCAGCATTTAGTGACCTAACAAGAGAGCGAAGAGGCACTGGGCTGGCAGGATCAGCTGCCATCTAGTGCCAGCCTTAACACCAGCTCACCTCTCACATACACAGACTGTGTATAAGCAGAATCTGAGAGACCTTAACCTAGCAGGGGGTAATCATTAAACATTTTCAGTGACAAAAGAGCCTTGTGACACATTGGACACTAGACTACTGCGGTTATTGGATTCTGAAAGTGGTCTGACCTTCAAAGTTTCCTCCTGTTGAGAGGGTTTAGGTAGACGGTTTTTGCGGAAATAAAAGGTGCCACATGTCACCCAAGGATACAAAGTTGGTGGTGCCCTTTTGTGTCTAGCCAGTGGTTGTTGGACACTGCTGACACTGTCAGACTGACCAATGGTCTGTGGAGCATTAGAAAATGCCAGCCAGCACAGTGGATGTTTTCATGCGTGGAGAATGTTGCAACTCAGTGACCGAGTAAAAGTGGAATTTTAAAAGTTTTTTTCAGGGTTTATATAACCAATTCAGACATTGTAGATTATAACTGATCAGGACTGGCCTGTGGCATAGATAGCCAAATTTCTGCAGTAGGGTACCAAGCTTTCCTGGTGTTCCCATTAAGCCTTTTGTCCTCAAATGTTTTTCACAGACTACTTAGTTGTGTTTCTAGAATGGCATCCATGTTCAAGTGTGCAGAGAATGGAGCTATCCTCTTAACCCTAATGTACTGTTTGGGATCCTGGAGAGCCCAAACCCTCTTCAACAGCTCAAAAAACATACTTAAATCTGTAATAAGTTATGAACACAACAGTGAAATATCAAGTTGATAAGGCGAACTTGTCAGCAAAGTTTCAGTATTCAGTATTCAGTTACGGAGCAGAAATATCATTCCTTAGTTGTTGTGCTTCTGGCCACCAAGTCCAATATTCACTCTCTTTTAGCTCTGTTTGGGTTTCAACCAACTCCACTAAATAATTTTAGATAATATTTACCCTTTGGTGATGAGCAGCATTTTCTCTCAAAAAAACTGCCTGCTGTGGCAAAACAAAAAAACTAATATATGAGAGCGATGAGAGTGAATCAAAACATAAAAGTCTCGGCCCACACAGCTAAACTACGAGCTGACACTAGGAGCTACAGATTCAGGTGATAATTCTCTGTAGTTTCCCCAAACAATGATAAAGCTAATATTAAAAAAAGACACACATTACTGTGGAGCCAGTAAATTGACTTTATGAATGCTTCCATAAACACTTTGCATTATAATAAATCACTTTCATTGCTTCGTTCCCCAAAACATTCCCCTGGACTGGTTAAATAATATACTTTATAATGTGCTCAGGTGGTAGAGCAGGTTGTCTAGTAATTGGAGGGTTCCTGGTTGAATTCCCTGCTCCCCCAGTCCAGTGAAAGTGTCCTTGGGCAAGATACTGAAGCCCAAATGTGAGTGTGTGTGTGTATGGGTGAGCTTGCTATCATCGCAAGCGCTTTGGAGGAAGCACTGTATTGCCTCCGATGAGCAGGTTGGCCCCTTGCATGGCAGCCTCTACCATAAGTGTGCGAATCTGTGTGAATGGGTGAGTCCATTTACATTGTTTTAGTTTATGGCAAACTATTGGTTTGTCCATGAAGCAAGAACATTGTCGAAATTATGAAAGAACCAAACACAGTGGGAGAAGGCCCCAAAAACCTAATTTCTCCGTCGCCCCCGAAAGGCTATGGCCTGTCCTGTAATTGATGGAAATAAAAGAAAGAAAGAGAATAAAAGAGATATTTGGAAAATCTACTTGACATGCAGACTCCTAACAAAAGATGGGATACATGTCAGTATTACCAAGAAGACAGCTCATGGTCATCAAAAATTCAAGTGGCTTCATTCAACCCCGAACTGCTCAGCCAGCCATGCCCATTAAAGAGTACAACCGTTCAATTCAAATGGGTCGCTCTGTGGCGCAGCAAAGCATACAATTGGAGATGATGAGATAGAAAGCTAGAGGGAATTTTTACTCTGTTTCTTCCATTCTTCTTCCTCTCTTCCTCTCTCACAGTCTTTAAAATACTTCCTACTGTATGTCACCTCATCCTAGACAACTAAATCAGCAGTAGATGCAGTTTTGCGTCATAACGAAACTTCACATGCACAAGTGACGCTGCAAGGCATTCATTTGTCTTATAGCTATAACAGTAGGAGGAACTCAACCATACACCTACCATACATGGTCATCAATCACACTTTATGGTTTTAGTCTAACATCGGTGAGTAACCGGAACGCGCACGGGGAGAGTAATTGAACAAAAAGAAAGAGAGACACAGAGAGGGAGGGAGGGAGGGAGGGGTGGGTTTTGGGTCGCTGTTTCGGAGGCGAATTCGCCCTGGACACCTCATACAGAGTGTGTGTATGTGCAGACGTATGTATGCGAGAGACAGAGTGACGGGAGACGAGAGAGAGAGAGAGAGGAGTACATATCAGACCCACACGGAAAGCTTCCTTTCACAACAACAACAAAAAAAAAACACTCCTTCACTCCTCCACTGAAGATGGAACAACTGGATCGCAATGCGCCCCCGTACCCCATGACCAATTAAGAGCGAGCCAGCAATTATTGTCTTTGAGGATCCGGACGCGCGCTGACCTGTCATCTTTTCACGCTTTCAAAAGAGACACATTTAGATATTTTTGAGCTGTGTCCCCTCATCCGTCTTTTTAAGTGTAACACGTCGTTTGTGTGGATTATATGAAGGTGGCTGGACCTTGAGGACGGAGTGCGTCAAGTGAGCGCACGTATCCAACAAGTGGATGCATGAATTTGATCGCGGCAGACAAACGCCGGGACTGAACACACAGACAGTCGGTGGATTGATAACCTATAAATCTGTGTATCGATTGATCGTTTTACAACTAAGACAAATAACCCGCACAGCTCAGATGTGGAGCTTGTCTTGTTTGGCGGTGATGTATATATGTGCGCATTGTCTCGGTCTGAGGTAGTTTTTGTATCTAGTGACTTTGTGTATTAACAGTGATTTTTTTTCAAGCATAGAACAAAACTGCAATGAGGTGAGACATCTCCTACATTTTCCCCGTCGTTAACCAAAAGCCAGATTTCGGCGGACACGCTGCGGAATCCACCGTCTCCCACCTCACCCCTCGCCCCCCATCCATGGACTCGCTTCTCCGCTCCCTCGGTGACCGCGGGGGGAAGTTGGGATCCTCTCTGTAGACGTTTCTGTATGACGAGGGCGCAGGTGGCAGCCAAAGGTCGCAGTCATGCCGATGCATCCAGTCACCTCCACGCTGATGTACCGGGGGATCTGCACCATCCCCGACATCCTCTCCTACAGCGCCCCGGTGAACCTGCCCGAAGACGAAGTTGAAGGTGAGATGTTACCTGTAACGTGTATACCTGAGGGTGTTCAAGGGGCTGGCGAGGAGGTGTTTTATTCATAACAGACTCATGTAGTGGCAGTGTACGTGGCAGTGGTCAGCTGTGGAGCTCAGTCAAACAGACGCGCGGTCAGCACCATGGACAGCGCTCATGACGCGGGTAGAGATTTGAAGAGATTGATTTTTCAGTTTAAAAGAGGGCTGTTTTTTTGGTTTACTTTCAAAATATGCCTTTTTTTCTGATCTTGATATATAAAACAGAACGTGCAAAAATATTCACCCACTTTGTCACCAGTGTTGCTCAAAAATAAACTGTCTTGTTCATCAGTTTCATTGATTCCAAATTCAGGTTTGCAGCTCATTCAGAGGGTTAGTTGCATATGCACCCCAGACGCAGACGACCCTGCCCCCCTTTCTGCCATAAATTGTTGCTTCTGAGGGACATTGGGTCTAAATAGAAGCAGGAGCGGCTGGTGGGAATTTGGTTCATGGAGCCCGGTTTTGAAGACGAGATGGTCCAGAAGTGTTTGATATTTCATCTTCCTTTCTACCTTTTCTAGGGACTGTGAAATCTCTGTACCACAGCTACTAAATGATTCAACCAACATCCAATGTAAATCCTCTCTTGATTAAAAAAAAGTTACCTGAAAATCATCTTTTTCATCAATCAACACATTCTACAGCACTGCAGTGGCACACAGCCAAGGCCCCCGACAAGAATGCTGACACATGACAACTATTCTGAGCAATTTTGTTTTTTAGTATCCTGAGAATATTCAAGCCTGGAGCACTTGTGATGTGAACCTGCGACATCTGCACATTATCATGCAGCAGCCCCTGGGACATTGTTCAAGTCCCAAAGCATGTGTGATGACAGTAAGTTCTTGCGTTGTTGCTGTGTAGTCAGTGCAGTGACGCTGGAAGGTAGCTGACGTATCCCTGCTGAATGATTTGTTCAGAGCACCTCTCATCCTTGCTACCTTAGGAATGCACACATTGTTAGGGAAACAAAAGCATTTTTTTGTTTGACAGATTTGACGGTTTTGCGGGGCAGATTTAGAGACATCAGTGTATTTTTTTTTGCATTTCTGATTAGGCTGTCAGATGAAATACATATATGTCAAATCCTGACAATAAATCTACCTTTAATTGAACCTGGAGTTGCACACATTTGAAATTACACAGCCACACACTCTCTCTCTTTCTCTTTCTCTTTCTGCTTTCTCTCTCTCTCTTCTCTCTCTTCTCATGCACACCACACACACACACACAGAGGTTTGCATCTGCAGTACATGCAAAGACACCTTCGTACACATTTGGTTTGGCAGATAAATGCTATTCAGTGATGAGGGTGATATTAATTAGAAAAACTGAGTGGGAGCAGCAGCCAAATGTGAATTAGGTTTGACTCTCAAAAGGTCTTTCACGACTGGTCTTACTACCTGTTTCAGAACACACACACACAACACCACAGCACCAGAAACATCCAGAAAACCCAAGAATGGCTGCAAGATAGATCAGGCTGTTTTAAGATGCCATTCTGCCCTCTGCATTTTATACTCCATTGCCTTTCCTTTTCTGCCCTGACACCCAAAAAACTGAGCCTGTGATAAAAGAGAAGAGCAAACCTGTCAAAAAGTGATCTTTGTATGATGTCCTGGCCATAATTATAGCACTGCATCACTCAGGGCTTTATTGTCAAACATGATTTCCAGTGTACAGGGATCTTGCTTGACAGAAATACATTTTGCGCACAGCAGCAGGACTAACTATCTCAGTTTCCTTCTCACCCTCCCACTTTATTTACGGTCAGCTTTGGGTGTGTTGAACAGAGAACACTTAATTTTGACTTTAATTAGTCAGACCCAGTTGTGCAGTCTTGTTGCAGTTGTTCTGTCGCAGGACCGAGTGAGCCATTTGGGCTTTACAGATCCACTTATGGTGGCAGTTTGACTGGGGAAGCAATGGGATGCTTTGTGGAGAGAATAGGGGTAGAGAATAGAGCCTGAGGTAAAGCACAGTTAACAACAGTGACAGAGCCTTTTTCAGCTGCTGAGGAGCATTAGTGCTCCCATGTGAGGGATGTCTTACAGGTTGTGAAAGAGGCAGACTTTAAAGGCAGTGTTGCTGAGGAGATTGAGTGTTGTTGTTGTTGTTGTCAAGAGTGTAACGATTCACAGCTTCTCCTACCAGATAGCACAAAATGGGAATAATATAAACATGAACGAGCTGATTAATTTGTTAAATAATAGCTAAAAAAAAGTCACTGCATAAATACTGTACTACGTGCCAAGATTTGTGCTTTAAAAACTAATTCCTGGCTTTACCCTCATCATATTTTCTGCTGCTCGAAGATGGAGGACAGTGGGAGCATACGCATGTTCCTCCCAGTATTATGTTGCATTGTCATACATTTTACCTCCTTATTGGACGTTTCTTTTTAGATTTCTGCTCTGATTGAGTAACATCCTAAGTCTGAATTTCTGTGGACCAGGCCCTCTTTAACAACATACAAAAATTGTTTTATTAGCCTGCATGATTCTAATTCTAATAGAATTGCTTATAAACATGACTTTTAACTGAGAATGTTTCATAAGTCCACTATTAGAGAACTAAACTATAAAGCGTGGTTAAATAAAATGGATTTATGTTCTGTGTCTGTTGTTGGTGTGGATTTCTGTGTTTTGAGTTTTATAACAGAGAGTCAGACCTCTCTAGGATCTTACTGGCCTGGACATAATGGTACTATGTAGGATGAGGTACAGTACACCTATTTGTGTAACCTTAAGACTGAGACTGCAGTGGCCTTGGTTCAATTCAAACTTGTGACCCTTTGCTGCATGTCACCCCCCATTTCCTAATTTAATGTATTTACAATGCCTTCTGGTTATTTCCACATTTTATTACCTTCACTAAATATCTGGCAACTTAGCAAATTGGGTTTTATAAACATCAGAAGAGAAGAAAAACAAGATTTGTAGGAACCTAGTTGCTTGGTTTGTAGGACCCCAAACAATGAAGAAGTAAAGCCGCTTTCAACAAAACACATGGATTAATGTTATTGTGGTTCTTGGATTGCAGATACTGTAAAGGCGGATAAATTCTAAATTATAATATGCACTGAACAATCTTGAGTATATGTTGATCAGATGAAAAGCAAGCTGCTCGTCAGCGCTCTCATCTCTTGAGAGATGGACGAGAATTGGTTGGAAGTCTGAAGTGTCACATACATCAGCTCGGCCGTCAGGAAGACAAGGCTTTGTCATGAAATGAAATTGCATATTAGTGAATATGTGTGTGCGAGTGCATGTATAGGGACAGGAGGCTCAAGCCCTATTGGCACACGTAGCCAAGGACTTGATTTTCAATTACTGGCTTGGACACCCCAGGGATCGGACCAACGGCACCATACTTTGAGAGGGCTGTCAAAGCTATAATTGGAACAAAACGCTATTTTTCTGATGCTCGATAAGCCTGTGTGTGTGTGGTAGCAAGTACCTTAATGTACAATGATGCAAGCATAAATTGAATTGGACTCCATATTCTCCATTTCCCCTCCTACACAAGAGGGATGAAAAAAACAGTTGGTCATATTACAGGAGCTCAATATAGTTTAGACCTCCTCCACCACTAAAAGACACACACACACACACAGTGTCAATATCACTGCAGGTGGAATTAAGTGGGTAGCCCATTTCCACACTGCCTAACAGCCCTATTGGAAGCAGCTTCAGAATAGTCCCTGGGCTGAGCTTAAAGCATTTGTAACAGGTCCCAGAGTGAGGCTCATGTAAACAGATGCCAGTAGTTTCATGTAGACACAAGCAAAAGATAAGAATCAAGCAGAACGTTTGCATCTTTCTGACAAGGTTGTCATCAGTGCACTTTATTTATTGTTTCAGCTCTGGCTTTCCTTACATTGTTTCACAGTTCTGTTATTTTCAGACTTGTAGAGTCACATAGAAAACAATTTACAAAAATAGAATGATACATATTCATATGTCTGCCTTTTGATCATCCACTCTGTCTTATGTACATATAAGTAAA